GAGGGAGGAGGAGGAGACATGAAGAGGAAGGATAGAGGGAGGAGGAGGAGACATGAAGAGGAAGGATGGAGCATCCACATATTAGAACCCGTATGTTTTGAGCTAACAATGCTAATGCTAACGTCCCCTCCGTTACCATGGAGCGTAGAATTTCACCAGCATGGTCTCGTGCTCCGTTGCTAGGTAATCGAAATCCGCGTCCCCGAGCACGAGCACGTCCCTGCGCGAGGACACCGTGGCGGGAAAAAGGGACAGAAGTGACAACGTGATGGCGGGAAGGAGTCGGACAGCGGCCGCCATGTTGGAGCGAGAGGAGCCAGTTTCACATGGAAACAATAAAACACGGAAACTGGAGACACACCGAGCTTCCGTCAGGACCTTCACAATAAAATGACCTAAGACAAACATTAAAATATGACGTCACAAAGTCAAAGTGAAGATTAACATAGTAAAAAAAAATCATAGAAATATGACGTCACAAAGCGAAAATGAAACAGTGAAAAATAAACATTGAATTCGCAGGTGACAGCGAAATGACAATGTTTTCATTAACCGCTTTTATTCTGAAGTCAGTATTTCCGGTAACTAAAGCTAACTTGACCAATCTCTCCACCTGTCAAAGTGGAGGCGGGACCACGAACACCGGAAAGCTGCTCTCTGATTGTCAACGGTCCAATGACCTGTCAATCAGAAAGCCCCCCCCCCCCCATTAGAATTAAACGTTTTTAGATGAATTTCTACATGAGGTTGAATTAAACATTAAATTTACAATAAAATAAATGTGAAACTGGGAGAATGTGTTGGTTTTTAACTCAGAATGAAAAAGGAAATTGTGTTTGTGTAGAAAATAATTCAAATAAAATATTCAAACAGTGATTCAAAAAGAAAAATACATTTAACAGCAGAGATCACTTTTAATTGAATTTGTCTTCGGGTTGCTTTTACATTTGAAGGAAACAAGAATCGGTTTATTCTTCAAGATGAAAATTAAAACTTTTAAAACTGTAAATTCAGGACAAAACTCAAGTTTTCAGGTCATATAAATATAAACAAAAAGGGTTTTTATCAAACAATCAAGCTTCAGTCATTCACATTTAATATGGATGAATTGTTTTTTTTACAGTACATCCTCCCAAATGCATCCTGGGAAAACTCTTAAGAAAAAAGAAATGTTTTATCTTTTATTTCTGTATTTGTTGTGGTTTCTAAGCAGGTGGGCGGAGTCTAAGAGGAACACTAACGGTCAACTTGATCTAAATTAAATTTACTGTATCTCCACAAAAAAAGCCCAGGGTCTCAGCTGATGTCCACACGAGGTCAAACATGTTGAGGTCGTCTCCGTCTCTGCTCCTTCAGTTTACACGTGGACCGATGATAAATACAGATGCTATCAGCAGCTATCTGTTGTCCAGATGTGGACACTGTGTCTCACATGGTGTGAGCAGCTGTTCACTTGTCATGTGATTGGTTTACAGCTGCAGATCTTTACTTCATTTAATTTGAGTTTTTGAGTTTTCCTTTGTCTGACCTCAATGACTGAGACTGTGCCTCCAGACACACCCACAGAGGCTGGACTCTGGATGAGGTCAGAGACGATAAATAATAATAAATAATTAGAACTTATAAAAAGTAGCATGAGCAGCCTGAAGGTAAACTTGTGTATTCTTTATGTATTCAAAACTCAAGAATCACAGAGGATGAACTCTAGAACAATAACTGTCAGTAACTGAATTCTAGAAAGTTCCGAAATGAGGAGTTCAGTTCTTCTTCAAACCAAATCATGTCCGAGATCAATGAGATCAATGAGATCAATCTTTTCCAGAGAATTCTTGACATTTTGTGATTGCTCTAGTTCATACATAGATTTGTCAAACAGAACTTTGAACAGTGAAGTTTGGACAATCCACATCAAATTTCTGGAGAACAAAGATATCTATATATGTAGAGTCTGGACCCTTCTAGAATTCTACAGTAACTGAGGAAACAGTCACTGTGGATTCTGGAGTCATATCAGAATCATTCTTATTAAATCTAGAATCAATAAAACTGATTCATGACCGATGTTCGTGAACTCAGACAGTTCTGGAATTCAGAGGAGTTCTCATCAAGTGAATCTGGATCAGTCTCTTGGCTCTGAAGTCCACTTCCTTGTTGACTGCAGACTCATCTACTATTGGTCTATTGCTTAGTCGGGGGCTGGCTCTTGCCTCCTGATTGGCTGGCCCTCTGAGGAACAGGAAGTGGTCTTTTGCGATGAAGACTGGAAAAGATTCATCAGATCGTGGAAACGCAGACTCACCTGAAGGAGACAAAAAAAGACAAATGTCCCCTTGTCAGCTTCAGACCTGTCAGTCTACGACTACCGGCACACTGAAGCCCCGCCCCCTCTCACCTGTTGGGCGGTCTTATTTCCCAGGTGGGCGGACACCTGTCTGAATGTTTTCCTATTGGCTCCTCTCTGCTGACAGGCAGTCAAGATGGCGCGGTCTGCCTCACTGAAACAGGAAGTGATGTTTTAGATGCTTTCTCCATGTTAAATAATGTTTTCATGTTTTCTAATTACGATGTTTCGGTCTTGTGATGATGTTTGATAGTTTACAAGATGTTTTCATGACGTGTTTGTATCAGACACCATCTCATGTAAATATCAGTGAGCTCCTCATCTGTGTTTCTGTGTTCTGACCGATTCCAGACGACGACTTTCTCTCCAGTGGACGTCGTCGAGATGTTTCTGGCACGAACTGGCCCCTCCTCCTCTTTCTCTCCTTCGCTTCCTGTCTCACTCGCTTCAGATGTCTGACGGTTGATTCTCTTCCTGTAAGGACGACTCTGGAAACCCGAGTCTGTCTTCATGGTCTCAGAGCTGGTCGCTACGGGCGACGAGTGGGTGTGAAACTGCAGGAAAAGCTGTTGCAGGTCGGGGTGACGTCGGAGAAGAGACGAGACCTGAGAGAGGAAAAGAAAATCTGATCATCAGGAAAAATGGGCTGATTTTAATTTGGATGATTTGAACTCTGATTTCAGTTGAACCTCATTAATTAATCCTGATTCATTTTACAAACTTTATGAGGATCAGCTGATTTCTGAGGTGGTCAAAGGTCATCGTCTACCTTGTCCATGTCTTCAGGTGGGGGGGTGGGGCTTCCCTGCAACACTGACACCACCTGCTGGTAGAGGGAGGAGGTTTCTCCCAGGCTCTGCCCCAGTCGCCGTAGAAACCGCCGGCTGCACTCAAACAGCTGTTGCTCCAACAACTGGCAGAGAGATACCACAGAAGAAGAGTTACCGCAGGTTCAGCCCGAACCTGTGCGATGTCACAGTGATGTCACTCACCAGTCCGCAGCGCCGCGCCTGTTCTCGGTTCAGGAAAGCAGCAAAGTCTCTGAGCAGCTGAGGCCACGGACGCAGCAAACAGCTCAGTCTCTCGTACAGATGCTGTGGGGCCCCCGAGGCATCCAGGGCCCCCGCTGCTGTAAACTGATCCAACAACTGCAGCAGCTGCTCCGAGACGCCTGGAGACTCCTGCACCGCATCACACACCTGTACACAGACATGATGCTGACACCATCACTGACTGTATATAAAGACGATCACTGACTGAATATAAAGAGATGTCTCACTCTGTTAAGATAATCCTGAGCAAACGCTTCATCCTCCCTCTGATCTTCTTCATCAGCCTGCTCCTCTTCCTCCTCAGTTTCTTCTGGGGACAGTTTCTCCTACAAAGACAAAGAACATTGATGAGGTTAATTATCGATAATCATCTGAAAGACGAAGATGCTCAGTTCACTGATGAAACAAGTTTAAAAAAGATCCGATGAATTGTTTCACACCTGCAGCTGGACGATGGAGGCTCTGGATTCATCAGAAGACGTCGCTCCATCATCATCATCATCTTCATCACCTCCTTCTTCCTCTGCTGCTGTGACCGGGGTCACGTCCAGCTCACTCCCTGACTCCGCCTCCTCAGGGTCAGCCAGGTCTTCGACACTTCCTGCAGCACTGGACGATGATTCCGACAGGGTCAGAAGGAATTCGCTCTGCTCTTCCTCCATATTCACACTGACGACATCGTCGTCCTCCTCCCCCCCCACTGGAGAAGGGGCGGGGCCTTCAGGAGGAGGAGGAGGAGCAAGTGCCTCCACATTATTCCATGCTGCTCCTCCGGTCAGGGTGTGTTTCTCTCTCCTTCTCCTCCTCAGACTTACGAGGGTCTGATAGTGGCGTCTGATTTGCTCTGTGGTTGCCGTGGAGACAGCAGCGGCATTAGTGAAGGCAGCAGGGGTGTCACTTCTGGTCAGGAGGAGTCGTTGGGGGCTGAGAGCCGGGGCGTCACAGGGTTTGTGAGGAGAGGCAGGTGCAGAGGGGTGCACCTGTCCGCTGAGTAGGGGGGAGGGGTCAGCAGGAGAAGGCGGGAGGGGCTGCTGCAGCAGGACGAAGCCAATGCGTTTGAAGTCGAGGTCTTTGGGAAGGCGGGGGGGATATCTTGTCCCAGAGGGGAAGCTGTAGTTGTTAGAACCGGAGCGTAGGAAGGTCAGGTGACTGTGACGGGGTCGAGCTCCCCTGCAGGTGGGCGGGGCCTCAGGTGTAGAGCCAGGAGGGGCATTATAACGTTTTATGGTTGGACAGATGACAGGAAGACTCCGCTACAAAACGTAAACAAACAGTGAGGGAGGATTGATAACTTTATATAACACTTTTACTGACATCTACTTATCACCTACCACCAGCCACAGAGGCATGACTCTCTCCTCTCTCTCCACTGGGGGGCGTCGCTCTGCTTGATTAACAGGACCACAGGCCACGGGCATTGGCCACAACACCCGATGATACCGGAACACCTGCAGAGGGATCACAAGGGTGAACACATACACAGACCTGTGCTGAAATCAGCCGAATCAGTCGCTGTATTACCTTTACTATATTATCAGGGACACCAGGTCGGCAGCACTGCAGGATTCTACGTCGGACCTGCACCAGAGTCTTCCTCAGGAGGAACTGAGACACCAGCTTAGTCGGGTCACATGACCCTTCCATGTTCCTGAGACCCAGAACCAGGAGACTGAAAACACACACAGTTACACACAGTTACACACACAGTTACACACTCAGTTACACACACAGTTACACACTCAGTTACACACAGTTACACACACAGTTACACACTCAGTTACACACTCGTCCAACAGAAATTTAGAGCAGCAGTTTGACATATTTGTGCGCTTACCAGTCCTCAGCGGCAGTGAATGCAGCTGTCCTGCGGGGGCAGTATAGAGCAGGGTCCAGGCTGGCACAGGGCAGTAGCTCTGGATAGAGGAAGACCGGGCGAGTAGCAAAGAGCCAGGCGAGCTCAGCCGGCATCACGGGGTAACAACGCACTGTAGAGGTACACAACAACACACGATCAAACACCCGGCTGCTTTAACATCACTTCACTATGTAGCTAATGTTAGCATTAGCAGCTGTTAACTGAGCACATATCTAGTGTTGACAACATTTCAAAGTAAACTACACAGGAGAACTCATTAGAGACATCCCATCATTCCAAGCTGCAGGTGGACTCACTGTAACCTCTGGCGTCAGGTGGGAAGTGTTGCGACTGGTAGCTGATGGGAGTCTGCCGCAGCTCCTCCAGAAGCTGCAGCGCCCCCTGCAGGTTGGACGATCTAAAGACGCTGCAGAAACCAGGACGAGATGACGACATGAGCAGCTCGGCTCTCTGAGCCAACACATCCAACTCAACCTGGGGGGGGGGGGGCAAACAACAGTGAAGATATTTTTAGAGTCTTGAGTTTTATTCGAAGTGAAGTGTGAAGAGGTTTGTGTGTTACCAGGAACTGTCTGGTGGTCTCAGCCTCACTCTGAAGTTTGGTCACAGGTGAACTCAACAGGTGAATCTGACTCAGCAGCTGAACGTGCTGAGAGACACACACAGTGTGAAAGAGGTCAGGCTTCATGAACATGAGTGTGTGTGTGTGTGTGTGTGTGTGGGTGTGTGTGTGTACCTGTTGCAGATGCTGCTCTAGTCTGCTCTGTTGTTTTCTGTCCAGTTTCAGTGTGTAAGGTTCAGGACCGTATACGTGTGTGTTACACAGTGGGTGTGTCTGCCGTCTGTTCCTCATCCAAGCCAGCTGCTGCTTTACTGTACGCAGCTCTGTGATTGGTCCGTCCTCTTCATCAACCAGCCCTCTGTTAAATGAACACTTGCAGTCAGTGTGTGTGTGTGTTTGTGTGTGTGTGTGTGTGTGTGTGTGTGTTTGCATGTAACATACATGCTGTGCTGATCCTGAGCATGTGCCTGCACAGGGTGTATTTCATCCTGTGGCTCCTCCTCTTCCTCGTGGCCTTCGTCATCCCCTTCCTGTCCTGCAAGGTCTTCTTTTAACTGACACACACACACACACACACACACACACACACACACACACAGGTTGTGAGTGAAACATGTAACTGAGTGAACATAACTGAGGCTGTTCAGTGTGAGAGAATCACCGTTTCAAACAGCTCCTCCATCAGCTCGTTCACTTCCTTCTCTAGACGACAAACAGAACATCGTCAGTGTCTGGATTCATCACAGCTCAACACATCACCTGAGAACATCGTCTTTAAACCAGGAAGAAACCCCGGTGTGTGTGTGTGTGTGTGTGTGTGTGTACTGACTGGTGATGCGGACAGCCTTGTCGTCACGGTAATCTTCCTGGTCAGGTTCATCAACGTCAGCCAGGAAGTTGTACTCTGGGTCATCATCATCATCACACTCTTCTGAAAGAGAGAGACATGCAGTCATACCTGAAAGGTACACGCACACGCACGCACACACACACACACACACACACACACACACACACACACACACACCTTCATTTTCCATGTCTGAGCTCATCAGGCCTCTTAGCCAATCAGTCCAGTCCCTGTCCTTATGGGCGGAGCTGGAGTCGTACATGTCAGGTGTGATGTCGGGGGCTTGGAGCGCCGCCTCCAGCTGGCCCAGTGGGACATCACGTAGAGGACGCTTGGACCGAGTCCGGTACGCCATCAGACCCGCTTCGTCCTCTGACTCCGACAGAGGCTGAGAGGGGCCGAGAGTTATTCATGTATTAATTCAGTGAGTCCACATCTGTCAGACACCAACATGAGCCAGTACGACACACACTGACAGAACCAGTCCGTCAGTTCACCTCCTCCAACTCAGAGTGTGACTCAACAATTAGCAAACATGAATACCCTCAAATACAACATTACACTGTTTACGTACAGTGTGTTTACTGTCCGAGTATTCAGGACCCCCTGACCGAGTCCCACCACTGAAGACCTCCCCCTGTTCAACACAGAGACCATTCAAAAAAGAAAATGTTAACACACAACAGCTCATCACCGATCCTTAACCTGGACTGACAGGTCTTTAAGTTCCATCAACCGGTCCTGAAGATCTACCGACAGGTCCGTAAGCTGTCCTGAAGATCACCCATCATAACTACTCTGATGTTTGAATCTTCTGTACTGTGTGACCTGACAGGGTGTTGTCGAGTGTTACCTGGTATGGTTCCATACACACGGCGAGCTCCTCCTCCACTGCATGAAGTTTCTCCAGAAACATGCAGTCGGTCACTGCTTTGGAGGGCGGTGCTTTGGGAGGAGGGGGAGGGCCCATTGAGCCAGACCTCATCCTCGAGATCCTGGACCGGCTCCGAGAAGTCTAAAGTGGGGAGGAGATTGTGGTTATGTGACAGATCAACCGAACACAACGAGGAAGAGTTTACAGCTTCTGTTGAAGACGATTATCACCATAGATATAATGTCTCAGCCAGAAGACACAAACTAACTCATATGTAATAACTAACGTTCCTGTGAACAACAGGTTCTCAGTCACACTGAAGCTTTACCTGCCAGGGGCTGCTGCAGCTGTCCTCCTCCACTCTGCTCAGACGACTTCCTCTGGGAGACGAAGCTGTGCTCTCCATGTCGCTCTCCTGGAACGTCTACAAACACAAACAGTCAATAACATCAGTTCATTATCAGCATCTGTGTCACACTGTACAGCAGCCAATCAGAGCAGAGGCTCACATCTTCAGCTGTCTCATCCTCATCTTCTTCATCAGGATGATACTCTTCATCAGAGGAGTCTTCCTCAGCCAGAGGGATGTCCACGAACTGAGGAGGCTGAACACAAAAGAGCAGAGACAGAGTTACTGGAGTTTAACAACGAGTTTAAGTTTTGAAAATATTTCAAGATGTGGATGTTGACCTTTGACCCCACCTTGTTGACATCATTGGTTTTCTTGATGGGAGAAATGTTCCAGGCTGGAATCACCTGACAGGTAAACAAGATGCTTTTATTAAACAGATGGTCAACAAACAGATGTTCAACACATGGAACAGAGGTTGAGCAGATGTGGCTCACCACGCCCTTCTCCACCACTTCTTTAAACTTGGATCGAGTCATTTTCGGCTCCTGAAGAAACAGAAACAGAGATCGATGTGATTCAGTGACGTCACGTCCAATGCCGCACTTTCAACGGACAACACAGTGATAGACTCACAAATGGGGGGACGGCCTCAGTCTCGTTGATAGCAGCTTTCATCATGGCCACCACATGTTCATTAGTGATTACTTCCTGTAGGTCAGAGGTCAGATTTACATTTATCAAGTACTGATGAACTCATTAATCTCTTAATGAATCCTGAACTGGAAGACCAGCGCTGTGAATCTGAACCTCAGGTGAGTCCAGGTGTGTTCAGGTGTCATCTTATGCAGATAAACTCACGTGGATGATGTTTCGGACGTTCACTGTGGTCAGGTTGTGTTGTTTGGACTTTGTCTCCAGTGATTGGTCCAGCTGTCTGTCAATCTCCATCTCGTCCTTTTCGTCGCTCTCTGAGCCTCCGCCCCCCTGCTCCTCTTCCTCCTCAGTCAGTTTCCCTCTCCTCTTCCTCACTGCTCTCCTCCTCGCTGCCTTCACCTCCAGCTGACTGTCCTCTGACACACACACACACACACACATCACTGGGTCAGTGTACGAGAACAGGTAAGAACTTCTCTTGAGGCTCTTGATCGTCCATCCTGGTTTTCTGAGGGCTGGTATTAAGAACAGCTGTGAACATGTGGACCAGTCTTTACACAACACTGGTGACACTGAATCATGGACGGATTGTGTGTTACCCATGGTGATGATGAGGCTGGAGTCAGTGGTA